GCCCGCTGTTTGCACACCTTGAAAATCCACGTCACTCTTCCATGAGGCGCAGTTGGTTGAGCGTCGGTAATCGTGCAATTAGTTGAGGATTGTGAAAACGGCTGTTTTCTCTCTCTGAGGAAGATAACCACATAGATATCAAATAAGTGACGCTATTCGTTTGGTGTATTGTTCCCCGTAACCAATCTGCACTTATTTTCATCAGGATAAAGTAGTGATAATAAATAGCATTGACGCTAAATTAAGGTAAAGAACAGAGACAAAGTATTGATTTATTGCACTGACACTGAGTTACATTTGCCGACAATGAAGAAATGCGTTACGCCAAATGATGTGGAATGTCATTTCAGGCAATGACTTCCCCAAAAAAATCCACAGGCCACTAAAGTACGCTGATGTGGAAAGCCATCAAAGTGGAAGAATGCTGGAAAGGATTGCTGAGCGCACCGTTGAATCGATCTTGACTGGAAACTTTTGTTTGATAGCATTGAGTTTGGAAAACAATGTTTTGTGTTAGAGAGTGCACTCGGTCTGACTCGCGGAAAGGACTGTGATGAAGGGATGAAGATTCGGATGATGCTTTTTGGTCTGCGCCTTCTCAAATTCCACTCGGTAGAAATTTGGGACGGGGGTGGGCGGGGGGAGGTAAATGTAAAATTAAACAAGAACGATAATGGTAATCGAGGCGGAAGTAGCCTACTCAGATAAAAAGATTTGCTTGTTTTCGATAAGCTATCTATCGCCAGTCCTGTAAGCAGCACATTCCAGTCTTACGTTCTAGTTGGACTCGAAGAGTGAGAGATATTAGCTAAGTGCAAGTTGTAAAAAATAAAGCTAAACAATGGTTTTTGATTCCTGAAAACACGAAGTGTTTTTGAATGGAGAAGATCCTTGATAGTCTTTATATTGTCATGCGCCAAAGCATTTTGTTTCTCTTAGACTTCAGCTGTTAAGTTATTTGGTGTATCCTTTGACCCCGGTAAAATCGTCGACTGCGGAACCCAGAATATTGGTCTGAACATAAAACACATTCTCACAGACGACAGAGGCTTAATTCGCAATCGATTTCCCTGTTTATCTAGTACTGTGAGAGACTAAAATATGTTGATAGTGGATATCACATTTCCGGTCACAGGAACGATAATGCTCCTCACTTTTCTTTCCTATCATATACCCGTTTTCATAGTCAACTTTTCAGGAATCAGGCAAGATTATTTTGGGGCATGCTGAGGGTTTAATAAAATGAAGGTGTTGAACAGTGTTGGTTGGATTCGAACACAATGTCCCCGGAATCAGTGATGCTACTGCAACGTTTCTGTCAGATACAGTTCCAAACTGACCGGAAACGTTCGTGTATGCCAAGCTTTTGTACTAAATCTGTCAAAATGACTTTTTATGTAGACGAAACCTAAGGTTATTTTGATGTATATATATATGTATATCTTTCGTTAGTGCTGTCCTGGTCAGTTGGGAATCTCTGAATGTAAAAGCCACTTAGTTATTGTTTAGAACATCACCACACTCAGGTGAAACTTTTTTCATTCATCTCTTTTCCACAGGGTTAGCATTTTCAATTCAATGCCTCATTCAAGGGTGATAGTAAATACTATGACAATTCTAGATTAATTTTTCAACTGAGAGAGAACAATGATTTTGGCCAAAACTCTGTAATCATCGAAAAATGGGGTTCGGATAGACTACAAACATATTGCACACATCCAGAAAACGCACAGGAATTGAATACGTAACACATATTACTCTTACTATTATTACATATTACACGTGACACTACCGTTATGAGATGATCAAGAAAAAAACAAGACCTAAACTTTCGGATCTGGTTTAATGTTTCCCAAGAAATCAAAAAGAGAACCAGATAAGTCCATAATCAATCCGTTATAGCCGTTAGCAGTGACGTGAACCAGAGTCATCTTTGGCTCCTACAGTTTCGTGTTTGTTTAGCTGGGAGCTTTGCTTTCTCCGGTTTCAAAGTAAATCTATCCAAGCTCAAAGTAGAACGCTATCACTACACAAAATGGCCCTACTGGAACTCATTTAGCATTCAATGAAACCAAATCCAATGCAAACAGCTGAGTAGAGTATGCAAAACTTGCATATAGTAGTGACATATGTGAGGACTTTCATGCTAGCATCTCACCATAGGCGTTTCATTTAAAATCACGAATTTCTTGCCCAATCAATTCAAAGATAAATATTCTCTTCCATATCGCACCTGACAATGAACTCCACTTGACCAGAAAACGACTAAGTAAAGGTCATAAAACAAGTGTAATGCATTCCAAATCTCATCATTCAGTCGTACTACTTGAAGACGAACTCGGACGGTGTGCATAAAAGCAGTAGCAAAATATGAATCAGTGATGGCAAAACATGGATGTTCACTCACTAGTACTGAATTGATCAAGAGATTTGTGACCAGATTGACATTTATTGGTTGAGTGACTTTAGCGTTGGCAACTCAAGTTATCCGACTATCAAATCAGGATGTCCCTATATCGTTTCAGGTTGTCATACTATCTTAGCTTAACTTGTCTCCTTGACCCTGTCGGAGTTGCGAAGCCTACGTAGTGATCAAGCTGAATATCTGTCTGAATGATCACCATTCAGTTGAGATTTATCTAGCTCTTGTTGAAGCGCCCGGGAGGGGGGGGGCGGGGAGACCATCTGCCTCAGTTACAAATGCCCAGAATCCCACGATATACGTCAACTGTTTGCCCTGATCCTGCCCCTTCGTATGTGTATGTGTTGCTCTCCTTCCTCTGAACAATCACAGTGCCGTGTTACATTGACACAACTGGATCAAGCTCGATTGACATTCCAACCATTTCAACTCAGATTCACATCCAGTTGGTGTGCTACTTGTAGTAGAGTACATTCCCCGAGTCCATCCGAAATGCACATCAAGGCCTGGGTGCGATCAAGTCTCAAGGTGTTAGGTACCTCGATTTAGGGGCTACAGTCAGTCAGTGACAAAGGAATGCATGGGTTTGGTCTGGTTTGCGCACGTCCGCCCGGCTTGCGTATTTTCTATAAAAAATGAACCAATAAATTTTTCGAGTACGATTGATTTCTATGAGGGAGCAAGCCTTTTAATCACTTGTATGGTCCCACACGGACACTTGGAAGATTACTAAAAATGTGTGATAGAAGAAGAAAGAAGCCGATAATCAGAAACCGGGCAATAAAATAAATGAATAAGCGATTTAATCAGCTGCCCGTTGGCGAAGTGGGTATGCTTGCGCTTACACCTGTAAGGTCCCGGAATCGATCCTCGTTTGTTTAATGAGTTTGCGCTGTTGATGAGACTGAACGAGTGTGCAACAGTTGACAAGCGAATCCTAGCTTTTCAGCTTGCACTTTATTTGCTTTGCACGTGACGGAATTCACTGTAACATACAATATCCATTGACAAACACACTCATCCATTCTTCTAAACAAGATGACCTAACCTGAATCAAACTTCGATATTGTTCCCTTATATATTAGTCGAACAATTATTTTTCATACTTGATGCCGTCGTTTTCAATGATACCACATCATAGGTAGCTACGTTCATCCAACACAAAGAATNACAAAGAATTCTATTTGAAGAAGTGACTGAACTCCCGGAACTCTACACGACACCCAGGAATTTTCGGAGTCACAATTGTCTGACCTTCATTAAAACACGTAGAAAGTTATAATATTGTAGAAGAATTAGCATTTGGATGGCAAGTGACATTGTTCACAGTAGATGTTTGAGCCCCCTGTGTGTGTAGGTAGTCGAATGCGATGTGATCACTGCACAAGTACAGGGTAACCAAAACCGGCGCACACGGTGACACAGACAAGGCGAAGAAGATTTTCGAGAAGATCTGCATGGAGTTGTTGTTGTGCGTCGGTTTTGGTGGGAGACATCAATCTGTGAACATGATGGTGTGCCTACGGCAGGAAAAATCCCACAATGATTTATTTTAGCTGATGAAGATAGAGCTGCTTGCATCCTGAGGTGATGAATAAAAAGAATGGATACAAATCGGGTGGTTAGTTGTGAATAAGGTGGAATTAAATTCACGGAACAACTCAAAACGGAGAAACTGTGGCGGTGGCAGCAGCAGCTGCAGCTCGCTTCATAGTCCTCTTCCTTATCAAATGACGCAAAAGCCTGAGGACGTCACTGTGATGTGAATGTGACTTGAATGTATCGGGACCATCGCCTCATGTTCTGCTCCATCTACCTAACCGGGTATTTCTTTAGGTGGGAAATTAATTTAATGACCGGCCATTGACCTGTCGGGAACAACCTCACTGCATTTCACGTTGCACTTGCAGGTGCAAAATCAGAGGTGTAACCTCGCTTAAAAATTTTGAACAATGCTGGTCACACCTCTTGAGTTCTCAGCTTCAAGAATCTCTGGCACTCGTTGTGGTCCAAGGGGCTGACCTATTTTCCAGTCGGAGATAGTCCCCGAAGAAACAGCATAAAATTGGGTAATTTATTCATCAATCAGTGTAATTATTACCTGTGATTAAATGGTTTTTGTGTGTGGGTGGAGGGTGGTGAAAAGACTGGAAGGGATTGTAGCCCGTTTTATTCTGAACTACAAGAAACAACGTGAAAATGTGGTCTAGCATTGTGCACAGTCCGATCCCCGTCCGAAAACGAATTAGTTAACGCTCCCGTAGTTTTAGTGTGTGAAGGGAAGAGAGAGAGTGAGACAGGTGACACAGGTATATTTCGAATATTCCATTTAGTTCCAAGGCATTGAGTACACAAATGTATATTTCAATGTCAGTATACGAATACAAGATGCGAAACGCAGTGGGTGGATAAAAACACGTATTCATATGAGACTCTTCCTTGATTGGAGGGTTCAGGGCGAAAACTAACACGCAAGTTGATAATTCCAACTGATACTCTGCTTTCAGACATCAAAATATTTTGTGTGCAAACGCACACACAAACAAACAAGGGCGAGTGTACAGTGTCCTGGTCACTGTCAGGTTGAAACTTTTTTCCACGACGGATTTGTTGTACGATAAAGGCATAGTGTGCTTGCATTAGCGGCCGGGATTCCAACACGGCGCCAGTCACACGGATTCGGATTGTCCTCAGAGTTTCCACAGGCCACTCTGGTGTAGTTCTGTGAGATCAGGAAATCATGCTAACAGCACAAGCCCGTGAACGTGGTATCGATTCAAAGGGGGTGGGTGGTGCGTCGAAGTGGAGTGAGTTGGACAGGAGATGGATCAAACGAAAGGAAAACCAAGGACGGGGAGGGAAACAATGAGTAGATGAATTAATTAAGAAAGACAAATGTAATAAATGACAATTTTGCCAGTAAATACCAGCCCGGCAGAGAAAAAATACAGTGTTGCTCATAAATTAAAGAACCACAAATTCACGCCTGTAGTTTTGACCCTGTGTTGACCATGAAATTCCGATAGAACAGTTGGTGATTACTCCCTGGAAGTTATTTAGTGGTTACGTTTCTGAACAGGTTGAAGTTGATTATTCCCACACGTACGACTCAAATTTTATCGGCATGGAGTATCATTTGATCATGGTAAGACAATCTTAACCTGTTTTTTGAAGATAATAAATGCCATGTAAACGAGGAAAGCAATTCAGCACACTTCGCTAATTGTTCTGTAATTAATCCACTCGGAAATTCAGTTCTGTATTTCGGTGGGACGTGTTCAATTTGCTTCTTTGAATGAACTACTGCAAACTATACGATTGTTGTTACTGGTTGAACAGGTGTTTAACGTTGTCCATCTAAAAGTGTCCATAAGGTAGTTTTAAACGAGCTATACCGGGATCAGTTCGTCGTGTCTCTCCTGGTATTTATTGCAAAAATTCATGACTAAAAGTACTCACAGATGTCGGACGGGGTCTTCAGTGCAAGATAAGTGTTATGTACAATTCTATTTTGTTGACACACATACGACGTTTAATTAACAACGCCTCAACAACCTTAAATAAACCAGTGATTGCTATTAGGCATTGAAAAACCCTCCTGGTTATATCACACTCATCTTAAACTGGAAAAACCGAACAAAGTATGTGAGTATTTTAGCTCTGTTCCCCTTGTTTACTAGGAACTAGAGAACTTAGCTAATAAAGTGAGAAACGAAATCCAAGTAATCGCACTGAGAAGCTATTGCCTCACCCTAAACTCTGAGAGATCTTATCATTCGTGCAGGAGTTTTATTTGGAATTCGGGTTTCTATCTGCTCCTCGTTTCGTTCAGAGAGAGAAACGGATTCTTTCTGGAGCTCGTCAAAGCAAATAGCTCGTGATATCCGAATAAAATACCATCCCGCAAGTTCATTTATCAGAGTACTACAATTGATAGGTGTATTTCTTCTCTTTTTGGTTCGGTGAGATCAACACTCTTAACAAAACTACACACAGAATATTAATATCAACAACAACAACAACAACAACAACAACAACAACAACAACAACAACAACAACAACAACAACAACACGATGTTCATGCTCACCATTATCGATTGATCTTCCCACAAAAAGTGATGCGATCCCGGTTTCGAATGCATCTGGAACTGAACAGTGGTTTGTCGAATCAGTAGTTGATTCACTTCCAATCCGTTAAATGCTCGTAGGGTGGAGACAAACGATCCAGCTGATTCGTGACTGACATCTTTTGGTCTAGCCCACGAGTAACAATTCATCGCGAAATCGACCACATTTGATATGTTTCCCGGCGCGTAAAGATCGGCCAAGCTGTCGTAGGGTAAGACCAAATTTGCGCCTAGTATCCGCTCACTGGGATCAACGACTACCTGAAAAGGGGAAGTCAGACGAGATGGATGGATACCTCGCGATACACGTGCGGTGGAGACATACCAAAATTATCTCATCATTTATTTTACGATTCAACATTGTTTTCCATCATATTAGAATATGAAACATAAAAAGCAAATGAGTAAAAGTAGTGTCTCGCTATAACTGCTCCATAAATCTGTTTTCAGGATAAATATTGAAGGCGAAAATTTGTTTAAACAATCATCGGCCTTCCTATTTGTTATATTGTCTCTTAGGTACATCTCATGTGAGTACATGCAGCCGAATTGTCACATGATCCTGTGGATGTCATAAAACTAGGGATCATGATATTGCTAACACAACAAACCAAGCTAAACTATGGAGTTTCTTCATTGTTGCCCTGTGGAGAAGAAAGTCACATCCCAAGTATTTTAGGTTATTAGATTTTGCTATTTGACTCTTAGTGTATCAGAGTACATGCAATTATCAATAGCAGGATGCTCAAAGTAGTACCACGTCCACTTCCGATTCGACTTTCATTGGACTGACCTCAGGTCGATATCAAATTCAGTCACCTAGACCACGGAACAATGACAGAAACAACTGTTCTTATATAGCAGACTAATTCTCTTTTCTTTTTCTAATATAAAACCATGTATGCCTGGAGGAGCGTGGATCGGATTGATGAATAGAACCAAACTGATTAAACCAGGGAACTCACAGTAGACATTCGATGTGTCGCTTTGTCCCAAGCAAGATGAACATGCATGTGAAACTCGTTCGGTGGGATATCCAAGCCCTTCACCTTCGTATCCGTGCTCTCTGTCTTTTGTACGATGTAGGAGATCAGACGATAACGAGGCACACCACTGGTGGATCGCACGATCAGATTCTCACTTCGGACCGCAGAGCATTGGAATAGGAGGAAGCTGACANGCTGACAGTTAGAACAATTGAGTTTGCACTACACAAATTGATCATGATGTTTAATCCAGTCAAGGTAGCTAATATGTGCCAGATAGATTTTATACGCGGATTCAGACAGTGATTGAATGCATCAAAACGCGAATGATGGAAAGTGTAAATGAGCGGTCAACGTATTGT